CGCTACAGATTTCACAGTTTCGAACTCTGCTACGGACGATGGTACGCAGCTACGCGGGCTTTCCACTTTTGCACCGGCCAAGTCTCGCATTGCACGAGGATCCCAGCGGACAGAAGAATTCCAATCTCGCTTTGCCGCGACCTGCATCTCCATAAACTTTCCAGTCAACGTACCGAGGTCTCCGGACTCTCCTGCCGCGCACGAAATCTCGTTCTGCATCCGTTTACGCGATTCAAACGATCCGTTTCAACGTTTGTTGAGAATCTTTCGCTGGCGTGAAACGCGAGTTTATTTTGGCGAATACTTTTACTTCCACTCTAGTCGCGCGCATAATAAAAGTTAAACAAATAGACTGTGGACTCTGTTGTTATTCCCATGGATACGTTGAAAAGGAAGGGTGGAAAGTTTATTTGCCTGTTGAACATTATAAAAACTGTACTATACTTGGGATATTTTATTGGGTTGGCAACTAAGTGATTGCGGATTTTGTCGTTAGGTGGTATTGACCAAATCCGTAATCACTTAGTTGCTAACCTAATATATGTTTTTGCATATCTGTTTTCTATGTTTTGCGAATTTTATGAATTCTTGCGTCTTTCAATTTTCCATAATTGCGTAAAAAGCCGCGGTTTGTTATTGAAATTTAAAAGAGACGTAGAGGATCGTGCGAAAATCTTAAATCATCTGTAATTTATGTTGTCTCCACCCAAACCTCGACTTGGCGTAATGTAATTCGGACCAACCTCTGACTTTATGGTATATTTAATGGTACATGCTATATTTAAGGTTTTATGTGTATTTTAAAGGAATTGTTTTGGAGATAGTAATTTGCTCAAGAAATTCAATACCAAGCTGTTATTATTTAAATTGATGATTAAATTGGGCGCTACCATTTCAGGTAATAGGAATATTAAGCGACCTATTTTTCATCTCAATTTATTGAATTTTATTCAATAAATTTATTCAAGCAACATTTCGATCTGTAATTGCTCTCTATCGGATAGCAAATGGAAATTTTGATTGTTTCATTCGCTTCATATCGGGACAGTTTATCGTTGCCACGAGCTTTATACTTATACAGTATTATCTTACGTATATAAAATTTTGGTATTTCCATTTAGATACGTACCATTACATCTGATAGAAAATTTATTGTCAAAGTTAGTGTATAATCGTTAAATCATGGTTGACATATATTCTCATTCCATTACGACACTTTATATCATCTACTTTAAATGAAACAGCAGCTCACCGACTCCTATAATTTTGATATACGTTTCAAACTATTCAGAATATTATCTTGCTAATTGATATTCACATACAGTGGCAGATAAAAGCTATAGAATAAGAAATGTAAAAAGATATTATAATTTTATGAGAATGAATTTATATTTAATAAGAGCAACGAATAAATATGGCATACAGCAAAGAATAAACGACAAACAGCGGTATGGTAAACAAATGTTTAGTGTAAAAGTTAATAAAATTCATAATGTACGTTAAAGTTTCTTTTATCCGCCACTGTATATCCTAAAAGCATATTCACTGAAAATCCACACACGCACACAAGCAACGTGCTAATCACAACAGCGATTAAATCCTATCATCTGGAACCATCTCTTGTCATTTACACGTCTTTCGTGCCTAACCGTGGCAATGAGTGAAATTTTCTATGGCGACCGAAGCCTTGGAAGATTAATGGGTCGCATACGGAGAAACGTGGACAAAGAGGCGCGCGTACGTCGATTGATGGCCGCGTCATAATTTTCATCGGGCATCCCAACCGTCGATTTATAATGACAGACACGCGGCGCGCCTCGGTTCTTCAAACGTCATCGATCCTGCGTCCCGATGAATCGCACGAACCGGGCCATCTGTCACTTCCCACACCGTGAAACGGTGCGAGGATTCTTCGACACGTTCCGTGTCGGCGGATTTTTTATTCGGATTTCAGGAAACCTAGTTTTAAAGTCGGAACACGCCTAGTTTAGCGTTTCGAAAGTTAAATTTGAAAATAAATATTAGCGTGGAATGGCAAGTTCTCTTTCGTCAGACGAAAAATTATAGAAAGTTATTACACGCAGTGAATATTTAAATAATTGTTCGAACAGCTTGTCGATGTTCGATGGAAAGTGTCGCACGTTTATCCGTGTGATTTTATTGATCTTTACGCTTCTGTGTGAGTTTCGTTCGATGGCTGTCGCAGTTTTAACATTCTGTTTGACCCGAGTATTTGTTTTTGGAAAGGATTAGTAATCGGATAAAAATAGACGAGAGTTTAGAGAACCTGGCGAATAAAAATTTATCGCCTCGGTTGCTATTGTTATTTCTTAGTCGCTTATCAAACTATGTAATACGATAATATCGAATTTTGATATTAATCTTTTTTGAGCCCTCTTGTAATTTTCATAGTCTTTTAACGCTTTGACTGTCACGCCGAAATCACGTGTTTCGCTCAGAACGCCACGGCGGTATTTTTATTATTCAAAACATATAATGGCAAAGTAATAATAAATTGATGATGTAAGACAACATTCTTCCCCGATGGACCGTTTATCTTATTGGTGGTCACGGGTGACCACCGTGGCAGTCAAATTGTTTTCCTTCCCTTTCTTTCCCTTTTATGATTTGGTTTCCTATAAGTAGATTTTGCCGTGGCGATTTCCTATGATTCTTCACATTTTTTGTTTTCTATAGAAAAATCACGTTTCTGTATTCCTCGCTACGATCTTATGATATCTTCTTCCCCCTCCCCCCCCTTTTTCCTGTTCTTTATTTGAAGTCTATATTATATTCACGTTACGTCTGTGTCCTCGGTTTAATATATGAAGGTTTGACGAGAAAGAACTGACGTAGGTTCATAAAGAAGAATCGAAAGAAAGAAAGATCAAAGTTATTCGTGTAAGCGCGGACTACTCTGGCAGAATGGAACCAAAGGATATTAGGAAAATGCTCCGAAATTGATTCTTGAACTCTTTCGCAATATCATAGGCTTTTTATACATATACCGAGTAGTTTAAAGAATTGGAACAAGTGCTACTTCGCTTTTCTTTGTTACTGGGAGAAGGTGTTACAGGGAAAATGTGAGACGATACCAAACAGCATATTACATGTTTTATATGAAATCAATTCGTCACTGTAAGTGCAAAATATATCTACTGTTCGTCATTTATGTTAATTTCAGAAACAAACTTAATCCTTTAATTGTTTTCTAAAAAAACATTCTAAAATCTAAGTGATCAAAAATTCGCGAAATTCTTCACGGAAATGTTCCTTGAATATGGCAGATTTATTTAAATTACAATGTTATCGATGTAAAAAGATGAATATTTTCTTGCAATTCGAACGTTATATCTTACGTTCTTAACGCGATAAGCAATGTAAAACTCAGACGTGAAAGGAAGTAAATTTGATGATTTTATAACAACGTGGTTGCTTGTTCGGACAAAGATGATTGGCTGACTGTGTTCACGTTTCACACGTTAAAGGGTTACACGCAAGAAAGCCTCGGTTGACGAAAACACATCTCAGAATTCTAGAAATAGCTGCTGACGTTCGAACGAGTAAGCGACGTACGATCCGATACAACGTAACGATCGCGGAGGAAATAATTTTCGAATCGAATTAATCCTACCGCGCGTGAAATGCAATTGCAAAAGTTGGCGTAATGGTAACGGTGTAACGAAGTTATTTCGGGTTGGTTTGCAGCGCTAAGAGCATCGAGAAGGCCGAACTTGGGTCCATTGGGTGTAAAACATTTTAGTGGTTGAATCGAACAACAAGACGAGATTAGGTTAGACGAGGATGACGAGTTTAAAACGGAAGAACGAGCACGAAGGTTTGGCTTCTGGCTCGAGTGAAACGTCAACAACCATAATCTGATGTGAAAGGATGATGGCGGCGACGACGTCCTCGTCTCGAGTAGAACGAAGCTTAACGCCACGCGAAGGTAGTCTTAATGTGAGAAACGTTGCAGACGAAATTGCGAGCGCAACGAAGACCAAAGGTTTTCATCGTGTCAAATTGGGCGCGCGAGCTTTTTTAGTTTCTCTATTGCACATTTTTATTTTTAATTCTGCTCATTTTTGTCGTATGCAGTGATCCACGCAATTGCAGCAAGTTATGGATTTTTTTTCGATTACGATGGAAAATACATGTCGGAAGAATTATTGCAAAAGAACGTCCCCTCCGGAACATCTGTTTCGTGAACGTTGCTTACATATCGCAGGTGCGCGTTGTATACACAAATGATATTTTATTTACGAAATTCGGTAGCTCAGCTTTCGCAAAATTTCGCAACCGTTTCGATAACAGAAGCCATAATTCCAGTTATCAGGTTCGCACGTTACATCAACATTTTCATTATTACTCTTTTTATTATTATCTGTCCAAAAAGTACAGCGTAGGAGTAGCATTTCTCTTGCACGCGAAAGAAAAGCAGCATCGAGTGTTTCTTTCCAGGATGACGGAGGCGAAAAGTTGCACAGGAGGAGGAGAATCTCCTGCTCCGTTGTCATCCAGTGTTATTTCTTACTCTTCGAGTTGCTTTCATTTCATTTCTCACCAATTTTTCGTCACTCTGCTCGAACGCCGATAGATAAATACACGTTTCATCCCTTTACCTTCATCGCGAATGCGATAACACTCGCGCGAAATATCCGGTTTCTTCGCGGAACAGACGTCAATTTTTGTTGCAATTTTGCTTTCATTTGACGAGATCGAAATCGACTTCGTTCAATGAAATAAAAGACAAATACTCTGAGAGTATTTACGTTACATTAATGGCCATTAATGAATCACGCACGATACATGCGAGCGGTTCAGAAGCAATGTATCGATCAACGCCATATATCGAAAAGTAGAGAAAATCGACGATGTCGTAAATATTATCTTTTAAATTTACTTTAAAATTTATTATCGTTCGCGATAGACGAACTCACGGAGTACCTTTGCTTCTTAACAATCTACCATTAAAGGTGTGTAATTATTACCATTAATACTATTGAGATATGTGTAATTTTGTGTGCTACATCGGATTAGCCGTGTAGTAGTGATACACAAATATGAGTATGATCGTGTGGCAGTATGTGCGTGAGCAGCGTCTCGTAGAACAGAAGAATGCAACTGTTCCGTACGCATGGTGTTGGAAAGATGGTGAGATAAAAAGAGTGCAATGAATAAATTAGAGTCGCTACAATCGAAGATACTCAGAAGAATAATGAACGCCCCATGGTATGTCAGAAACGCGGATATACGCAAAGACCTAAAAATACCAACGGTCAGAGAAGAAATCGGCAGATACGCAAAAAAATACAAGAAAAGAATGGCAACACATCGAAACCAGGTGGCTGCTGAAACGAGCGAAACTCTCATAAAAAGAAGACTAAAGAGAAAACACCCCAGTGACCTCACTAAAGAAATAAAGTAGACAAACTCGAAGACACAAACACTGAAGCTACTACTTAAGACGAAACTATTTTTACCAAAACCAGTCAAACTGACTGGTCTTTAAAAAATACGTAATAATAGAATATCTTTATATTTATTGATTTATTGCTTACAAAAGGAATTTCATGTTACGTAGTACACTTTTTGATGGTCTCTAAATGAGAATTGGTACATTTATAAAATTGTACAACCAGTCATTTTAACTGGTACTGTAGTTCTACTATTAGCATCATGGTCGATCCGGAATTTGCCTGATAACTAACACCATCGTATTGAATGATACGCGTGTATAAAAATTGTAAAAACGCGTGGGAAGTTGTACAAAACGAGGAAACTGATTAATTCGGGTTCGGTAAACAGATTTTAGCAGCCTTTTACACTTTGACGAGTACCATTCATTTTGACTGGCATTGATATAAGTAGCCATGATACAGAATTATTTTGATTTTGAATAAATAGAAAAAAATAAATAAAATTCATTATATTATTCCATTTACATCACAGAAAACATCCCACTGATCTCACTAAAGAAATAAAATAGTCAAACTCGGTGATGGTTACCCCGCTGGGGGTAACCATCCACATGTTAATTTGCAATAAAGTTAGACAAATTTACAGAATGTCCAAATTGTAAAGTGCAAATTAAATAATAAGAAAAAGAGTGCTGAGAGTATCTTGTAAACCACATATTAAATAAATATGAAACTATTTTAATATCATTTCTACGTGTAATGTAAGTGTTCCTATTTACTTATTTCACCCACTAAAATCCACAATTTTGAACAAGTACAATGGCACAGTTGATCAATTTTACTAGCAAAGAGCTAGAAATATGAATTTGCATACATATCCGCAGCCTAATACGTAGGATTCGTGGCCAACCACGATGAACGAGGTCAAAGACCAGGAATGCCGTACGAAAGTAATAAAGAAGAGGGTGAATAGCGAGGGACAAGAAAGTAAGCAAGAGAATCGAAGGGTGGTAGCTGGAAGATAGAGGAGTGTGCTCGTCGACGAGAGACAAGACAGAAGGGGGAGCCGGTATAAATAAAGAGGAAAATACAAAGGGGTGGGGAAGGAGAGTGACAGAGGGATCAAAGGCAGCAACGTATCGAACAAAGGGAAGCATAGAAGCGACAAAGATCAGAGGAGGAAGAAAGAGTACCTTGGGTGAGCAAGTCGAGGGAAATTAAGCAATTAGTAACTTTGCACCGCGGTAGCTCTCGACGAGATTTGATTATGTTTTCGGTTTAAGCTCTACTGCGAAACGAGGGGGTTGGTCTGTTCCTTTTCCGCTTTATTGCGCATCTCTTCGGCAGAATTTCATGTACAGTAGATGGATGGACACAGTGCTGAGCAAAAGTCTTGGGCTACAAAATGAGTATGATATTTCAATATCGTATTGATGTTTCAAACAGAGAATTAGAATTGTCTGTGAGAGATGTTGTCGGATAATTTTCTCATAAACTCGTTTTATATAAACTCGGCTTATGTGTAAACGTTCCTTTACATTTTTAGTTGCTCGAACAATTTATTCACATTCTTTCACTTGCTTCCTCGCGACTTGTTCTCAAAATCATTCCGTATGACTTTCAAGTATGCTGTAGGCGTTCATTCGCAAAAATAGCAATTACACGAAACAACAACATCGAAATCATTCGACTTCTTTCTCAAATCTTTCACATCGTTCGATACAATTAACAGTTTCGAAAATATTTCGGCCTTCAGCGTCTTAACTGACTTCCCAGTGTGTGTTTCGTAACATTTGTAATTTAAAATCTTATTCATCTAAAGTGTTTTTAATATTGTAGTGTCGTGAATAAGGGGTATCGTGCGAATTATAAACAAGCGGTTGCTGAGCATGTACGTGGTAGGGCTAAAACAAGAGATATGAGACTAAGACAAACGACAAGGGGTTGTTAAGGGACGATAAACGAATTAACAGCAGTATGAGTTGAGAAGCCGGAGAGTGCGTTGCGTTGTCGAGATAGTGTTGTTAGTGTTGTTAGAGAGAGTTGAATCTGTGTTGACGAGAATTGTTAATTAATTATCTAGTTGTTTTAATTATTATACGTTGTTGCAATTAGTTCATGTTAAATACCCATTGTTTTCTGTTTAATTAACATCCGTTTAATCCATTTATCATTAATAATCTAATTATAATAGTTTACGATATTACAATATATTTATGACGATGAACGCCTAAATTTAATTCCTACGTATAACAGTGTGCGAGAATATTTTCTAAAAAGCAGTTGCTTGCTATTATACGATCAATGGGAGACTGTAGGTGACCTAAGAGACTTTTGTACAGAACTGTAGATGAGGAGAAGGAGGATGGCAGCCTTTAAGAGGTGGCTTTCGCTCGGTCGACGTATATCCACAGCCGCAAACTCTAAAGGGGCAATACGTGCCTCGAGCGCTGCGTCCCGTCCGCTTCTATTTCTTCGTTTCCGCGCTTCTGTCATCCCTTATTGTTCTTCGATTCTCGCGCTCCTTATTGCATTTCCTCGATTCTTCCATGGGAACGTGGAGGTGAGAACACAAGCGTTCGACACGCTGGAAACCATGTGGCGACGATTGAAGATCGATCGTTGGCGAGGACCATTGTGCCACCACGAAAGGTCGTAGCGTACGTTAAGGCTCACAGAGGAGGAATCTGTTGGCTAGCCGGGTAATCGTGATTTTAAGCGTGAATTCAAGTGAAATTAATCGACAGATTTATTTGTAGGTTTTTTATTTCTATCCGTACCTCGCCAGACGGTTTTTCTTTAAAAAGGGTAAAAACGTTGTTTGGTTTATTTTGTTATATGATTATTGATACGTGAACCGTGTGGATGTCTTTTGATAGAAAATGATAGAGAATTATTATTTATATTATTATTTATATTTTATGATTATATTTTATGATTTATATTTATATTGGAGAATATTTATTGTTTATTTATATTTGGAACATAAAGTTTAATACAGTAACCGAGATAATGATAATTATTAAAATACTAGAGTGTAGTAGAAAGTCCGATGAAGCTCCGATTAATTAAGTTTTGTCCGATTAATCTGTCTGTAGGATACGAGCAAGTTGTTTCAATATTTATTATCTATTGTACGAAATCGATATGCCGCGACTTAATAAAACTTTTACAACACATGTTTATACAATATATATAGATACACAAATATAGATACATTGCACGTACAATTTTTATAAGAAAATACTTCAAGTTATATGGAAAAATCATTGCGTGTCTAAATTTCCACGTAAATTTTGCCAATATTCTATGAGTGGAAGTGAGACGAAAATGTGAAATAAATATAAACTTTTAAAAGAATATACCTTTATTAAGAAGTTACAATAAGAATCTGAAATACAAAGGAAACGATAATGAATTTATTTTCAATACGATAGAAGGCAGAAATAGATAAATGATAGTTGATATTGTATTTCTGAATCAAGCATAGGAAATTAACTAATAATAAATATTAAATTGGTTTGTCGAATATATTTAATGGTACATCGAATATTATTACGTGCCTCTATTTCCACATTTCGAAGTGTTAACTTTGTCGATATAAATCTACCACCAATATACCATTAAATTAATTCAGACTTTCATTATGCGAAAGTATGAATACGCGTGCTTGATGATGCGAATCTATTTACACAGATTATTTAATTTATATACAAATGAGACATTAATTCACAATGGATTCAGATCGTATTAACACGTAACGTAATTATCATCTATCTATTTCTGCCTTCTATTGTATCAAAAAGCAAAATAATTGTTATTTCCTAGACAACTTTATGATCAACTTTGTAATTGTTGAGTAAAATTTACAAAAGTTTCTGTTCGTGTGTTTTTATACGTTAGCAAAATTTTGAACATGAAAGCTAAAAGGTAGAATGTCAATTAACGTCTATTTATACACAAGTTTAATACTTTGCTCTGCAAAATTATATACCGAAGAAACGACAGAACGTGAACATTTTCTGGCTTGTTCTCGCGTGTTGGGAAGATATTTTCTAAATGAAACTCGTTCTTTACTTAGTTTTCACGTGCACATAGAACTGCATTAAAACCAAATCCTTTCTCACGAGTTTCTTCTTAAAAACTTTCAGCTTCAAGAGCTCGTAATCAATTTATCATTTTCACGTTAATAAACAAGTCGTTATTTGTTTGCTATACACACACGCCTGCAGAAACCACGTAGAAACAAACAATGCTTTTCGATTAAAATCCCAGTCACGCAATAAATTCTTGCAATACGAACAAAAAAAAAAAAAAAAAAAAGAAGCAAAGAAAGAAAAAGAAGAAAAATCCATAAAAATTAGTCTTCTCACAGTTTCCACGTTGATTTTCTCTCCACAGACCAGCGTCCCGGTTTGCTTTATCGTTCTAGTCGGTTCGTTTCGAACGTTAAAACGCGAGTCTAATACAGAAACGGACATCTCTTGTCAATTAAAAGCCCAGCCAGGCAATAGAATCTTGCAATAAGAACAAAGAAATTCAAAACCATAAAAATCGAAGTCTTTCTACAATTTCCAGTCTGATTTTATTTTCTTCCTTTCATTTATTA